AAGCTACACCGAATGTCTGATGGAGTTTGCTACTACTAAAGTTGGTTCTTGAAGTTACTTCATTCATGCAATTATTCACTTTTTCAATCCCATTTGTCACTGAATTATTAGATTTTCAACCAGACATAATTCAATATAAGGTTACACAATATATATCAGAAAAACAACAACATAAAAATGTATTTTTTTTCATGTAAAAAAGTCAAAGTTATGGTTAATATTTAATAAGCCTTCAATTTATGAAAGCGATGACAAACAGCTTGAAATATCTAAACTATTGCATTTCAACAGTTTGTCTGCATGATTGCAGAGGATCTTCAAAGGCATTAAACCTTCAACATAAATAAAAAAAATTTGGTTAAATGTTGCACAGCATTCATAAAATCTGTATTAAAATAGCTGTGGCTGGGTGTGGTTTGTGGCGCGGCTGCAGGGGAGGCTGACACACATTGGAGCTCATCACGCCTGCCCCGGAAAAAACGTGCTGGCACCTGAGGTTGTTGTGGTGTGTGTGGGGTTGTAGCTGAAAAGTTGCAACTGAGTGTCGTAATAACCAGCAACCAAATAAAACTGTTAAAAGAGTGAACTGTGTAGTCGGGTCCGGGTCCAACTATTTTTGTAGTTTCTGTATTAAAAGAGCAGATCTGTCTTGGTGAATGATCAAATAGATATTTCTACACTAAACACTCACCATGTTTTAGACATTTTTTTCTACTCATTATAAATAACGGCAACACCTTTTTGCTTCCTTTTGCAGCAATCTTCCCAAATCTTCCCATTAAAATGTGAAGGAGAATCCCCTTCTTTGGCTTACCTACTTCTAAAACTACATCCTAGAGAGGCAAATATCACTGATCGATTCCTATGAATGATCGTGACAGTGCAGTTACTCAGTCACTAACTCACTTTCAGTTTCTTCATACAGAAACTTCCTGTTTATGGCTCTATGGATACTATGCTTTTAGACCTCCAGGTTTTTCTATTTTACACGCCTGGTAATTAAGTTGGTGATTTGAAAAATAGGAAAATACCACATTGCTTATTGTACATATCAAATCACCTGTACCCCCACAGAGTATGGAAAGAATTCCTATAAAGCCATGCCAAAAAAATAATAATACTGAAATAAATGAAATTTAATAATAAATATATAAATGCCCAATACTACAAATGTTCTGTAATATTAAATCAAGCAGTCAATAATTGTTTTTGATTTGATTGTTTTAATTTGTTTGATGTAAAGTCACCATATAAACACTTTATTTCTTTTATCCAGCTAACAAAATAGTCAGTTATGAGTTGTATTTTTTGTCATGCTTTTTTTTGGTCTTTTCTAGATCTTCAGGTACATATGTTTCTTTTTTATCATTCTGATATTTTACCATGTTCTCCGTTCTTTTGTGTAATTATAGATTTAAAGCCAACATTTAACAATCTGCTCCATCAGAACACTAGGACACCTGAGGGTTTGCTTCATACAAAAGCAGTTTATAGCTTCTGAAAAAGCGATCAGCAGGATTCTCTTTGCTTGCCTGTTTCTCGCTCTGTCCACTGAAGGCTGCTCACTAAGCTGCAGATGGATGGATCATAAATTCAGACAGAACAATGAAGAAACTCTAATTCTACTTGATACCATGGTGACTGTTTTACTATTGTTGTGTTTTACGTTTCAGTTTTGCTAAAGACTTTTTCAAAAGCCTCTTGGAGTTGTTGTCAGAACAGACTTGTGTGAACCATGCTATGATCATGTCTTTTACTGCTCTATAGAAAAACAAAAAGCTGGAAACGGCCGCAAAGTTGCTGAAACATCACAGTGGGAAATCATGAAAGAAGTTAAAAGCAACCAAAGGGCAAACAGAAAGAAAAGGTTCTATTGATTAAAAGGTCAAAGCAGGTCAAAATTTTCCCCTTTTTGTGCAGCTTTGATAAGAGCCTACAGAAAATGTCTGATGGCATTTACTGGTTCTTGAAGTCACTTGGTTCTCAAGGTTTTTTTTCACGTTTTCCAGCATGTTTGCTGTTGGATTATTACAGTCTTGACCAGACATAATTTAATGAATAATTATAATAAATAAAAAATTACACACAACGTACTTTAGAAACAAAAAAACAAAGAAGAACCAAAGTTTAATATTTAATAACCCTTCAGAAAGCTTAAATATTAAGTATTAAATAATTATATCAACTGTTAAGTTTAATACATATTTATAATTATGTATATCTGTTAGCCCACACAGAGGAAAAAAAGAATCACTTATCCAAGCAGCTTGTAAATGAAAAAAAAGAAGAATATATTACAAAATTATAAGCTAAATGAAAAAATCCTTCTTGTAAGAATTAGAATAATGTAGATTTTTTTTCCTCAGATCATCATCTGCGAGTTTCTTGAAATGCATTTCTTTCTTCAAACACAGCTGTGTTATTATTCTCTGGCTGTCTTCCTCACCATGCCTTTTATTTTGTAATTTTGTAAAGTCTCAAGGGATGTTAATCTTCCCATGTTGCCACAAGTTTCACATATTCTAGGTAAAAGAAGGTGAAATATCACTGGCCGGTTCCTTTGAATGAATGCTGAATGGCAACAGTTGCAGAACCACAAAGCCACTTTTTATCGCTTCCTTTTTATGTCTCGTGTGGATACTGTGCAGTTTCATTTATTTATGAAGTATTAGTTTTCCACACAAGCAACTGAGTAATCATAAAAAAAATCACATAGGTCAGCGTACAGTAAAGGGTTGTGCCCTAGTGGAAAAGTACCCAGGAATAAGAAAACAATTAACCAAACCAAACCATTAACAATCTGTGGAAATAATTCATGTGTAAATGCACAATACCCAAATTCAGCAGCTAACAAATCATTTTAATTGTATAATAGTCTAAATGTAATAAAGTTGGAATGATATTGTTGTAACACATTATATTTTTTTTTAGACCAAAACACAAGCTATTCCAGTGATAAAATCTGAAACTTTGAATTTATAATAAAAAGCTACTAAAGCTACTCAATGCCATCTAATAAGTTGGATTTTTGTTTAGTTTAAATATTTCAATATTGTGTTTGATGCTTTAAACACTTGATGAGTTTAATGCAGGATAACTGAACCAACACCACTGAAGTGGAGGAAAATATACCCTTCCCCAATCATCTGTACCGTCAGGCGTCCCCAGCTTTTACTTCTAAACCTACTTCTTCTTCTTCTTCTTCTTCTTCTTCTTCTTCTTCTTCTTCTTCTTCTTCTTCTTCTTCTTTTAAACAAAATCACTGGATGTAATAAATACATTGACCTTTCCTTTTAAAAATTTCCTGAGCAGTGGTGTAAAAGTATCTGTTAGGTAGTCTGTGATTGTTCTTCCAGGTTGCAGGATTAACTGGATTTCGAATGCAATTCTCGAACTCACAAACTAATTTCTCATCATTGCTTAGCACACAAACTGACACAGGTTAACGTGACCACACAAGCAGAAGTTTAGATCGACTTTATTTTAAATCAGTATATAATAAAAGGAATAAAAAATGAGTTAATTAAAGAAACTAAAAATGACGCTTTAAGTAATATAGGATCATAATGTAGTGGAAACGGTAAATAGACCTAACCTGAAATTTCGAGATCTGCTCCAGTGATCTAGACGAGTGTGATCTGGCATATTGGTGCAATAAGTCCGTCAGATAAAGAAGAGTTACTCTTCTTAAGGGTTACTTAAGTGTTTAAAAATGAGCTACAAAATTCACAAATGCTAATATTTTATTAATTCGTTAATATATGTACCAGTGAATATATGCTCACATTTGCATGACATCAGAACCACCTGCACTGGGGTATTAGTGTTGTTCATTCCAATATACAGTGAATTGCTTAATCAAATCTACAGGCGATAAATTACTCAGGGTCTTCAAAATGAGAGTTTTTATGCTTTTTTATAGTGGTCACAATTCAAGCTAGGCCGTATTTGTCCTGTACCGGTCCAGAAAATTTTGAAAATTGAAATTGTGGGTTTCAGTCAGGGTTACTGATCTCGTGTCTGCCTATACAATAGTAGTGTCTTTATTCATTATTTCTCAATTGAGATGAAAACATGGGCTAATCTTCCGATTAAGACGTGAAGCAGTTTTCCGTAGGTTACCTGGTTCACACAGGGAAGCCACAGGTTCAAGATAAAACAAGGCGAAATGTCACTCATCGGTTCGCGTTACGACACATTCCGCACAGTCATCAAGCCACTTTCAGTTTCTGAAAGTAAGAACTTCCCTTTTATAGCACACATGGACACTGTGCAATAGACCTGGAGCGTTAGGTAAAAGAAGCAACTGAGTAATTCCAACTGTGAAAAAAATACATTGTTCGTTGTTCAAACCGAAAACATTGTGTGCTGTGTGAAAAAAGATGCCGAAAAAAGGAAAAAAAAAAAACACAAACAAGTAATGCAAATTGATGAAATGTGCAGTACCAGCTTTTATTATAAATTACACAGATTTAAGTAAGGTGGCCGTTAATGAAATCTCATTGTATTTAATTATTTTTATTTTCGGGGTGTAAACTGGCGCTAAAATCGAGATAAATATTCAAGGAAGACGTAATTTTTTTCATATCACAACTTAACTATTTCAGAAACATGTAGAGGTAGCCTAATGGGGAAAAAAATCAGCTGTGAGATGTGTTTCTTGTTTTGTGTTTCACGTATTTAAGTTCATGTATTTATGTTTGGCAGGTAACTCGTAGTGACGTAAATTACTAAATTAACGAGGGTGATACCTTAGCTTGTTTAAAAACGCTGCCTATCCTCCACCGTGGAATATTTTCTTTGATTTGGATACAAATTCTAATCTGAGATTTCCGACATTACAGCCTGTTGTACGTTGAGGCCTCAACCCGCTCACCTGCGGGTTTCCCAGGTATGGAAAATGAAATATGTTCGCTCTGCTATAAATGCAGCGCTGCAGGTCTGCTCCATCAGACATCCGAGAGTTTGCTTCATACAAAGGAAGTTTATACCTTTAAAAAATGATGAACAGGATTCTCTTTGCTTGCCTGTTTCTCGCTCTGTCCACTGACAGCTCCTCGCTAAGCTGCAGATGGATGGATCATAAATTCAGACAGCACAACGAAGAAACTCTGAATCTAATTGATACCATGGTGAGTGTTTAATGCTTTAATATTAGTTAATTTGTTATTTTTCGTGAAAGAATTATTTCACTTGAGCATCTGATGACTAAAACACTCAATGTGTTTCAGGCTAAAAACTCCACTAACACCACTGAAGTGGAGGTCACTGTGGCCTTCCCTAATCACCTGTACCACCAGGTGTCCAAATCATCAGTAAGTGAACCTCAGCTTTTGCCTATTTATAGAAAAAAACATAATTTTCCCTTAGGACAGATTAATTTTGTCTTTTAAATCCACTCTTATTATTATTGAAGCATTTCTAAAGTGGTCTGTATTTGATCTTCTTCTTCTTCCAGGCTGAGGATAAACTGGCTTTCATAGTTCAGATTCTGGAGGAGGTGGCTGCCCTGTTTGAGGAGGATCACAGCTCTGCATCATGGGAGGACAGCACAGTGAGGAACTTGCTCAATATTGTCAACAAACAGGCTGAAGAGCTTCACTCCTGTGTAAGTTCACTTTCAGTTAGGTTTTTATTACATTCGAATATGATACTTTACATGACATGACATATTCTTAATTGTCATTTTGCTTGTAATTAAATTAGATTGGGAGCCACAGTCACAAGAAGAAAACCACAAAGCTGCACATGTACTTTAAGAGACTCTCACATCATATCCTAAAGGAAATGGTAAGATCACATCATTCTCATTAATTTGGGTTTTAGATCAACCTTAAAGTAAATAGATATAATAACTTGTTTCAATAACAATAAGAATATTAATATTGGTATTTCTGTAGGGTCACAGTGCTGAAGCCTGGGAGGTGATCAGGAAAGAAACCAAAGCCCATCTAATGAGAGCAGAACAGCTGGCTTCATCTCTGCACACGGCCCAATAAAACCTGTCTCTTGTCATGTCTGTAATGACGGCTGTGTTAATTTAATTGCTTGTCTATTTATTTTATTTATTTATTTATTTATTTAGTTACTTGGTTATTTGTATATTTTTGTTTTGATTGTTTTTCTATGCTGATGAAGATTTAGGAATATTTTTTATCTTTATAATGAGCAAAATGAAAATTTTGTAAAATATATTTTGCCAAATAAAAGAATCTATCTTCTTACAAAGTGAATTTATTGTTTATATTACTTTTTAATATCAAAATGGTGAACTTGTAAGTTCCTTTAACCAGATTTCGATTGCAATTAAACTAAAAAATGAAAAACAAAACTCCACAGTGCTTGGAAGTTCACGAAAGTGGAATGAAAGTGTTCTTTAATGGGTTAAAAGGAAAGCCCATAATATAAGATGTAACTCTTCTGTCACTTAATCAATAAATTGACACAATTAAGACAGTTATTTCATGATGAAATAAAAAAAAAACGTGGGTAATGTTTTTCCAGCCTTTCTGTTTTACATTGATCCAGTTTGGGCCAAATTTTAACTGATGGCCTCACATTTGGAATATTTTGACATAGAGAGGAGTTCATGGTCTCCTCAGGGACTACAAGTTGTTCACGTCTTATGGCTGCAAAACAAGTCCTCTTGTATCTGCGCTAATATACTTAATTTCAGATGTGATGCTGTGAAGTTTACTTTTTGTTAAATAATTATAAATACTGTCGTCTAAGCTTCCACTTAAATTATTTTACAACCTGAAAATGACCAAATTATTTATTTATTCTTTTATTTATTTTTAATGCTCGAATATGGAAAAACTTAGAATTGAAGAAGTATGTACCATTTTTCAGTTCTTTTATGCATGATATAGGTATATTTGTATAGGCATTGTGCTCATGTACTGCATCAGTCTAACTTTTACTTTGTGTGGGGTGGCTGAGGCTCAGGTGGTAGAACAGATCAGCTACTGATCGGAAGGTTGGTGGTTCGATCCTTGGCTTCCCCAGTCTGGATGCCTTGGGCAAGTTGCATTCATCGGAGTATGAATGTGTGTGAATGTAGTTTAGGTTGCACTTGAAGTGCTTGTATGAGTGGGTGTGAATGGGTGAATGAGGCATGTTGTATAGAGCGCTTTGAGTACCCCGGGAGAGTAGAAAAGTGCTATATAAGAATCAGTCCATTTACCAGATCAGGGGTGGTACCTCTGAGGTGGCAGTTAGTCGAACCTTGGACAATGCAGTTTACATCCTGATGGTGGAACACTGGACCAGCTCTTTATCCTCTTGAGGATACTTGAGGGTGCATGGGAGTTTGTCCAACCAGTCTACATGGGCTTTGTGGACCCGGAGAAGGCACTCGACCATGTCCGTCAGAGTGTCTTGTGGAAGGTACTTCAGGAGTATGGGCTGTTTGGCCCATTGCTATGGACCACTCAATTCTCATACAACCATTTCAGGAGCTTGGTCCGCATAGCCAGCAATGAGCAATAAGTCAGACTGGTTTCCGGTGGGTGATGGATTCCACCAGGGCCGCCCTTGTCACCGGTTCTGTTCATAATTTGTATTTAGAGAATTTCTAGGTGTAGCCAAGTGGCAGAAGGCTCAGATGTTCTCTGAATCTCAGCTCTGCATTTCGTATATGATGTTGTTCTATTGCCTTCATCGGCTGATGACCTCCAGCTCGCACTGGAATGCTGCACAGCCAAATGTAATGAAGTGAATGAGAATAGCACCTCCAAATCTAAGGCCATGGTGCTCAGCCAGAAAAGGGTGGACTGTCCACTCGTGATCAGGGATGAGTTTGTGCCCCGAGTGGAGGAGTTTAAGTATCTTGGGGCCCTGTTCACGAGTGATGGGAGAAGGGAGAAGGACATTGACAGACAGATCAGTGCTGCGGCTGCTGTACTGGTCCATCAGGGTGAAGAGAGAGCTGAGTGTAAAGGCAAAGCTCTCAGTTTACTCGTCATACTTTATAAACCAAAAGAAACCAAACCAAAGAAAGTCTCTAAAGTGGTCTTGGTGCTCATACTCACTCCACATGAGGTATCAGTACTTCTACTTTCTATGTTGTAAGAGCTTTTGTGAAGAATCAAAACAATCTTTCTATATAAATCTGGACAATGTGTCTAATGTTTGATTGCACTCATTAAAAATAAGTGCATAACCATTATTCTTGATATTTCAGGAACAGAAAAGTCAACAATTTCAATTTGTGTGATAAGAAAATATTTATTGACTTTAACATATCAAATAATATGTCTAGTTTACTTTATGGAAATTTTTCAGAAATCTAATAAATAAATGAATAAATAATACAAAAATAAATACTAGTGTCAATATTATGAATACAATAAATAAATTAAACCAATTAAGAAATACAAATACATTTTAAAAATTTATCCGAAAGACGAGTTTTAGTGGGCATTTCCCAGAGACTTAACCAGGGATGCGCATTGACTCAGATGGTCTTCTGTAAATATATTTTACAAAATTTTCATTTTGCTCATTATAAAGATAAAAAATATTCCTAAATCTTCATCAGCATAGAAAAACAATCAAAACAAAAATATACAAATAACCAAGTAACTAAATAAATAAATAAATAAATAAATAAAATAAATAGACAAGCAATTAAATTAACACAGCCGTCATTACAGACATGACAAGAGACAGGTTTTATTGGGCCGTGTGCAGAGATGAAGCCAGCTGTTCTGCTCTCATTAGATGGGCTTTGGCTTCTTTCCTGATCGTCTCCCAGGCTTCAGCACTGTAACCCTACAGACAAAACAATATTATCATTATTAAAATACCAGCGGTGTAAAATCTGTCATATTGAAATACAGGTTTAGTAAAAATAATGCAGACTTACATTGGCCTTTAGGATTTCATTTGAGAGACTCGTGAAATGCGTCAGCTCTGTCGTGTTGCTGTGGCTTCCAACCTAAATAACCCACAAGGAAAGAACAAAATATATTTGAATACATCATTCACCACTTTAACTTATTCACATTTGTCAGAGACTGATAAAATATATATAATAGAGACTGAATTCATTGTAAAATTTAAAAAAAAAATGCAATATCATTGTTCATTGTAATGAAAGTGAGCTTACACAGGAGTTAAGCTCTTCAGCCATTTTGTCGACAATACTGAGAAAGTTCTCCACTGTGTTCTTCTCCCATGGTGCAGAACTGCGATCCTTCTCAACCAGGGCAAACAGCTCCTTCAGAATCTGAACTATGAAAGCCAGTTTATCCTCATCCTAGAAGAAGAAGAAGATGAAGATGAAGAAGAAGAGATCACTATAGGAATACTTCTTTAAAACTTCAAGATGAATAGTCAAAGAACAAGAATTCACACAGCTATGAGAAATTTCCCAGGGACCGAAAATCTTTGTTTGCACAGGAACAAATGTTTGAAAATAACATTGTTGTGTTTTGTCTTTGAATTATACATTTTTATGGACAGGAGTTATGACAGAGTCGTGATAAGAGACAACTCCCTTGGCTCTGTGGGAGAGAATCCCTTCGACCCTTTCATAGCTGAACAGTCTATATATAGGTAAAGACAAACTTTTGTGGATTTGCAATCACTCCATTCTTTCATTAAAAAAGAAACAACTTTATGTAAAAAGCTGGGGATGACTTACTGTTGCTTTGGACTTCTGGTGATACAGTTGATTAGGGAAAGCCACTGTGTGCTCAATTTCAGCATCCTTAGTGGTGTTAGTAATCTGCATCACACACAAAACACGCACACACATCATATCCATGGAACTAATCAAACTATTTAAATCAATACCATGTTAAACATTATGCAAAGAAGTGCACTCACCATCATATCAAGGAAACCCAAAGCTCTCTTGTTGTACACATGGAATTGATGTTTTATGTCGTCTCGATCATTTACAATCCATTTGCAACCTAGCAAAGAGCCCGTACTGTACATCCCGAGAAACAGGCAAGCGATGAAAATCCTGCTGATCATTTTTTGAAAAATGTAGAAATTTCCTTAGTGTGAAGCAAATTCTCAGGTCTCCTGGTGTTCTGATGGAGCAAACCTCAGGCGCTTCATTTATAGCAAAGCCCAAGTACACACCTATTTCATTTTCTAATCAGCTGGATAATCGTCTCAAAAGTAAAAACATAGCAGATTTATGTCATCCTTTTAAGATTTAATATCTGTTCTTTCATTTATAGAGAGTGCAAGATTTCGTTTTCTAACTCTATCAAGTAGAAACTAGAAAAACGTGAACCAGAAAAAAGATTTGTCATTATTTTTTTTAGCTTGTGTTTGTGTTTTTTTGTTGTTGTTGTTGTTGTTTTTTATGATAATTGTGTCATATAAAGACAGTGTTGTACAAAAATTGGCTATGATATAACAAAAACTGAGGCAGCAGCACCATGAGATGACGTCAAGTTACCACATAAAAGCATAAAAACACAAATCTCCACCTCTATGTCAATCTCTTAATACTTGCGATTAACATGAAACCTTTAGGCGATTTTAAAGTAAACGTAGAACAACAGTCGTTTAATTAGTTTAATTAGTTTAATTAGTTCAATTAGTTTAAATGTAATTTAATTACTGTCAAGTAAAAGTTTATTTATCCGAAATCTGTTTTTACTTCTTGATTTTAATCTTGGAAAATTGAAGATAGGAGATTTACAGCAATGTTTTTCAGGGAGTCTTTACTTTCTTGGCAGTTTGCAAGACATTAAGGTAGCTAAAATTTAAAAAAAAAAAATAGTTTTAGTTTTTTAACCTTCAGCTGGTTTCAAGTAAACCTCGGATAATGGTCGTTTAATATATGTGTATTTTAATTACCGTCATGTAAAAGTATATTCATCTCAATTCTTTCTTACATTATTTTATCTTGGAAAATTGAAGGTTGGAGATTTACAGTAATTATTTTCAGGCAGTAGTATTCACCTTCTTTGCGGGTTGCAAGCAGTAGCGGTTTTTGATATCAGCATCGTGGTGGGGGGCGGATTCACGG